TGATTAGGTTGATTGTCTCTTCCTACCTCCAAAATAATTAGTTTTAAAACACTGAGAAGTACATAACAGATGCTTGTATTACCCTAAATAATCTCAAATTTACGAATATATTGAAAACGTATAGAATATATATATATATATATATACTCTGATACCAGAAGGGAACTAGGACCTATAATCTAGAAGAACTAGATTAAAAAGGATTTTTAACTAGTTAACTAGTTGTAGGCGGAAGACTTGACTTTTGTTTGGCTTATGTATTTAATGACTTGAAGACTTTGTCTAATGGAGGTGATGACTTAGATACTCAATTTGGAGGAAGAAGAAGGCTTTGAAGAATCGGAGCAAGTGATAATAAAAACTTAGAATGGAGTAAATGCACACTATTAAAATATAAATATATAAACCTATCATAAATTAAGTAGAAAATGAACATAAGAGAATAAACTGTATAAATGAAAAACTATGAGATAACTAAATTGGATTAAATTGAAAATACAAATTATTGAAAATAATTGAAGGATCATAAATTTGAATGTGAAGGACTATGTTAAATTAAAATATAAACACAGAATATTAACTCAGAAAATAATATTAATTGAAAATATTATTGACTGAGGAAGCTTTGACAAACAAAGTAAAAACTTACAGAAATCTTAGTTCAGTGAAAGCAAGCAATGCCACGCAGGACACTCACACTCCATATATATATATATATATATATATATATATATATCTTTATGTATTTGAAGTTATAATAAAAGAAAATAGGAAAAATTAGTTTCTTTAGTTTACTATATGCATTTAAGTAATATCTTAGCCTTTTTTAATTACATGAATTACTAATTATGTTTTAATTATTATTTTTATTATTGAATAATTGGTATTTAATTATTTTACTAATTTCATAAATTAATTAATAAATAATAAATAATTATTTTAAATTATTTTGTGGACTTTATTTTTGAATTTTTATATACAAAATTAGTTTGTATAGTTTTATATTTGAAATTAAAACATTTAATACTAATATAAATTATAAATAATTTATGAAATTAATTAAAATAATTAATACTAATTATTCACTAAAGAAATAATAAATAAAACATAATTAATAATGAAAATGATTAAATAACTCTAAGATATTATTTAATTACAACAAAGAAAATACAAAAACTATTTATTGACCTAAGGAACTAATGCTATATTTAAAAAAAGAAAATGATACAAGTGTGAATTTTAAATATTATAGCCACGCGAATATAGTGTTAAAATATTCTAATATATTGAAACACTATAGCCGGGCGGCTATACTATTGTTTTTTAAAAAAATTTGAAAAACCGAGTACAGCCGCTCGGCTATACGTTTTCTTTTTTAAAAACAAGGAAAACCGAGTATAGCCGTGCGGATATACTTTTTTTTTTAAGGGAAAAACTGAGTAAAGCCGCGCGGCTATACTATTTGGTTTAAAACAGCTATATTATGCGAGTATAGCCGCGCGGCTATACGATATCCCAGCTCCGTATGAACATTTTGTTCTTGGGCTTGCATTTTGATATCAATTTCCTAAATTTTGGGCCGACCGTTATCCTATAATTCAACCCCATCTTCCAGATCATGGTCCAATAAATATACCCAAAGAAACCAAACCAGGGCCTGTGGCAAAATCTAAACCGCCGCATATTTCCAGTATAGCAGCGTCCAGAGCGCACAAGGCTCTGGTGAAGCAGCTTTTCTCTCTTCCCTCCAAA